AACAACAACACATTAAGTAAGGGAGCATGGCGGCTCTAGAACAGGGCTGGGGAACTTCCAGACATGGGCTGTATAAGACTCGCAACATCATTTGGCCTGGCCCTAACAAGGCAACTGCAGTTCCAGTCATCATATTAGAGGTGAATTAATTAAATGTCTGACCAAATATAACAGGCTTTTTTTTTTAAACCAGGCTAATTTTTAAGTTGATCATTTTGTACGGCCAGCAAATGAAGTTACAGATTTTTTCAGAAACAAGGTTCCCCACCCCTGATTGAGAGGCTAAGCACTGGACTGTGAACACCACAAGGCCCATCAGCTACTCTGGAGACGGATTCACGGCTTCGGAAACCCTATCCAGGGTGGCCATGAGTAGGAACCAACTTAACAGTACTTAGCAAAAACACCACCAACATACTGAGTCAGAGCCAAAGTCAAGAGTCAAGATGTACGAACTACAGAAATGGCTACTGGGATTTGCTTTTCCTAGTCCTGATCATAAGGAAGCAAAACAAATGAGATTGTGTGCGTCTTCCTTATGGCGCAATCAGAGTAAAGAAAAGATGGCTTAATTTGCTTCCATGAGGCACAGAAAGCACTGAAATCCCCAAATAAATCACATAGTTGCTACCTCAACTTGAAATGTAGCTCAGATAGCCATGTCTATGAATGTATTATAACATTATAAATATTATAACTGCGCTTGAACACAAGTCCAGGGATAAACTCACCTGCAGGATATATGGACAGGTGACCTAATGGTTATGCTATACCTTTTTTTCATCTTTCTAGGAACTATTAATGAAAGGATCAACAGTGAAGCAAGCTGTTCACTGTATGTCTGACCTGAGGAGAAAGTCTTTCAGAGGACTCTTCTCTCTCCCCTGTAGCCACCAAGACTATGAACAGTTGTGCTATGGAACAACCCTGGTTACTTCTTCCCCTGGCGTTCACTACCTTGTCGGCTGAGGAAGGGCCCCCCCTTGTGATGAGAGGCAGGCTGAGGGCTGCACCGGCTGCTGTGAGGACTGTTGTTGCTGCATGCCATCCTGCAGGCTCCGTGCTTTTCGAATACTGATTTGCAACTTCTTATCGATTAGGGCTCTGCTGTGCGTGCTAGAGCTGGCACCATGCAGGGCAAGTCTTAGTTTAGCTAAAATGCAAAAGAAAATATAGCAGAAACAACCCAAAACACAAACAAAAACAAAAAGAATAAAATTCAACCAAAAATGAGCAAAGGTATGCATTAAAACTCAAAATATGCAGCAGGATTGCAAGGCAAGGACCATGCGTATGTTGCCCAGGGCACAGAGCTGGCTCTGACTATAAGGAACATTCGTGGAAGCCATCGAGCCAAACCAGTTAATTCAAATTAAAAACACAAAATGGAACAAAACAAAACTAAAATGAATTAAGAAGATAAACTGTTGCTTTCATCTCGGAGGTTGCCACACTCCTTATCCTTTGCAAATGATCTGTCAAACTCTGGTCTCCAAATTCTGCTCCCAACCACCCTTTCTTGGTGGCCAACGGCAGAAATAAGATCCAACCTTGCATCTGTCTTTATAGGACACAGCTTCCTGTGGGTCACAATGAAGAACCAGATACCAGTTCTAAGTCCTCGGCCCATGATGTCTACAACCTTGTAACATGGTATACCAGGAATCAGATAGTGATTCAGTTTATTCAGTTATTCCTCCACCTCTCTGGTCAGTTACTAGAGAAAGTGCAGACTCACTTGACATTTGAAGTTCACCTTTACTTTGGGACAAGAATGTAGGCATAGCTGGAAAAGTGCGCCCTTGCTGTAGTTATACCAGTAAATACCCACAGACCACAGGGACGGCTCCTGGCACAGTCAGAAATCGGGAGGCAAAGATAGCTAAAGGGCCTTAGTTTGGGAGGATGAGAGTGAGGAGACATAAAAAACTGTTCTTATCCCATCTGAGTGACGGCACTATAACACCTGCTGTAAAATTAGTCAAAAGTGCCATAGCCAGAGCGGTTAGAGTTACTTACAGATAGCTTCGTTACAGAGAGCCAAAGCTGCAGCACAGTCTCCCTTCTGTTCCAGATGCAGTGACGCTTCAAACAGTGAATCTGCCTCTTGCAGGGACTTCTCAAAGCCGTCACTCCTTCCTGAAAGGGCCAGCACTTTTCATTTTCCTTACAGTTCTCTCCAGTGTTTCCTATGTACTGCTTCCCTTCAGTACACATAGAGCCTTGCTGCTGAACCTATGCTCTACCCTAATTCCAACTGTCCATTGTTATTAGGAAATCTCTAAAATAGGGAGGAGATCCTTTTTTTTGCCTTTTAAACTAGACCTTACCAAGTCCATAAATAAGAAGCATATCACTGCCCACCACACATTCCAACTCCAAGACCTCTTAGAAAATCCCTCAAAGCAAGAGCAAAGTACAGGTGGGTTCTTATGCATAGAACTGAACTGCTCTTCCACAGTGCAACAAGAATGCCCCTGACTTCCACTGAGACTGCACTGGTATGTTAGGGCAAAGGTGGCTTTATTACTGTGACAGTCAGCCATACCACTTCCTTCTTACATCAGTCCATAATCCTCTTGTAGCACCCTGAACTAGAAAATCAGTACACCTTTTGACCTTTTGGATACAGATGGTCTTTGCTTCCTAACTTCAATCTATGTAACCAGGCAACTGAATTGCCCTTTTTCATAGTATGCATAATAAGTATTCACTTATATCATCCCCTGTTCATCAGCTTAATTAAAAAAAGTCACCTTTCCATATAGTGAGCATCCCTTCCTCCCCTAAAGTGAACATGTGCCAAAGCAGGTGCAAAGGAGTCCACCAAGTACGGTGGCATATCAAAGCACTAGAAAATTTTGTAAATCACTTTTGTATAAGAATCCTTAGGTTTATGTATACACACCCTTGTTCTCCACTCACTCATAACCATAAATCGGTAGCAGCCTGTAATGCAAGTTCACCTACAATTTGGAATGATGGTGGGTTTTCACAAGACCACAAGGGGAAAAAAAAATCAGTATATCTGAGTCATCTTCCACTTACCTCCAGCTGGAAATGGAAGGCTCTTCTATACTCATGGCTTATACATCAGATTCGACTTGATGGCAACATACAATGGGTTTTTAGAGCACAAAATGAAGACAATGGGAATAGCAGGTTGACTCTGAAGATCTTGGCCTCCACGTAATACTCCATTTCCAGAAATATGACTCCCTATCCCCTAGACCTGAAGTTTTCTCATAGCATTTGAATCAACTGAACCTATGCAATCCTTAAAATCAAAGGTGGTGGTTAGAGTCATTTTTTTAAAGTAGTTCTATACAGAAATCTAGCAAACTATAGTTGATTTACCACTATAGTAGATTTCAATCCTTACTCTACAGAATCTTAGCATTCCATTCTTTGTTCTTCCAGAAAAGGCTGAAAAAAAGTATAACAAAAAAGCTGCCCCAAAACAGGCCTACACTTCTCTGAGTGTTAACGAAAAGATGGAAGTGGGCAACCACTCAAAACAGCCTTGATGCCTACTCTTTATACTGGTTTAGCACAGTTTGTGAACTCTGAGGATTCTGAGTAATAAGAACGATAAGTTTATTTTATAGAAAGATATAGGTTTCAGGACCTATTTAAGGTAAATACCTCAGGCTTGGACTCCTATTTCATGCCTTTTGGTACAATGTGAAAGAGTCTTGGTGGTGAGTTAAATCTTAGGCTGCTAACTGAAAGGTTGGTGGGTGGAAACCAGCAACCACTCTGCAGGAGAAAGATGAGGCAGTCTGCTGTCTGCACGACTTACAGCCCTGAAACCCCCAGAGCAGTTCTACTCTGTCCTAAAGGGTCACTATGAATTAGAATCAACCCAATGGCAGTGGGTTTATTTTGTTTTTTGCACAAAATGACATCTTAAAGAAATTTCTGGAAGAAAAACGTAACTAATGTGGGGCAGTTGGGGAAGCTTTAGGTAAAGTTCATGGAAATTTTAGGAGACTGAACAAATCAACCCAGGATCAAAAGGCAGTAGTCTCGCTCTGCTCCTGCTTGGCTGACCCAGTTTCCGGAAGCCCCAGATGGAAATTCTCAAGGGTATGCTTCTATAAACAAGTAGAATGACCTCACTGCCCAAGTGGTTTCCTGTCCTTTTCTGCTGCTTCTGAGTTGTGACTAGTTTTGTTTCGTTTCTATGGATGTTCACGGGAAATATTTTTCATGAACACTATTACTCTGTCTCTCATCTACAGGCTGCTAACCCTAACCAAACCAAGGCCACTGCCATCAAGTTGATGCAACTCAAAGTGACCCTAGAGGACACAGTAGAACTACACCTTAGAGTTTGCAAAACGAAATATTTACAGAAGCAAATCGCCTCATCTTTCTCCTATGGAGCGACTAGTGGGTTTGAACTGTCACCCTTGTGGCTAGCAGCCCAACATTTGACTTACGGCACCATGTCAAATCAGTGCCTATCTCCAACCAGTAAGATCATCGCCTCCTACTTTAACTAGCTTTCAGTGGAATGACTAAATTAAAATATAAAATTGGTAAAGAGAAGGAATTTACAACTTGGGAATTTCCCCTGTCTTCTGTCCCATCATCCACAACCTAATGCTCACAACAATTACCCTGATTCTGCAATTCATCCAGATCCATAAACCGGCTGGGATGAGGGTTGAAGCCTTTAGCTGCCTCTAACTCCTTCTCCCGCTTCCTTCGAAGTTCTTGTTCATGGGCTCTTCTGGTCACTTCTTCTTGTAACTCATCCAGTTCACTTTTGGAAGTTACCTCTCCACCTGGAATACACGTAAAGGAGAAGATAAGGTGCCACATTTCCAAAACCAGAACAAATAAACATCTAATTAGGCAGTTGCAATGTTTTCCTTTGGAACTTTCAACTTCAATTTGGAGCTAATATTTTAGATAGCACTTTTCAGAAGAGATTCAGGATGGCATCTAGGCAGTGAATAATAATATTTATCAAGTATTTCATAATAACAATAACAACATGGCAACTAATATCTGCTGAGTACATACTATGTGTCACATGCAGTTTGAAGCACTTTTACATGTTATTATTCCTCATAACAACTTATGAGGTAGATACTATTATCCCTATTTTATGGAGGAAGAGACTAAGTTACAAAGAAGATAAATAACTGGCCCTTAGTAACAAGATGATATATACTGGAGCTTGAAAATAGTCAAATAAGCTAAATTCATAATCAGACATCTTAACCATTAGCAGTTCTCTCTACCAGGGGCTGCCACTGACTCATTGGGGAGCTTCAAGCAAGACATTTTCTCATCCTTGGACTTTCCACCTCTTTACTGAATTCACAGGAATTTTGGTATAATGCTGTAGTAATAAGCACTGGACTACTAACTGTAAAGTCAGTGGTTCAAACCCACCAGCCGTTCCCTGGAAATACTACACAGGGTCGCTATGAGTCAGAACCAACTCAACAGCACGTAACAACGAAAACAAGTACATACAACGTCCACAACAGTAAAACTTTAGCTTTACAAGTGTCCACAGATGGATCTAGATAAATATAGATGTATGCTCATGATACATCAGGTGACGAGCCAAGTTTCAGAGTCATATGTAAAGTATGACTTAATTTTGTTTTAAATAAATAAATAAATAAAGGTAGTGACCAATATATGAGGATGCAAAAAAGAAGGTTTTATGGATCCTTGTTGTTGTTGTTATGTGCCGTGGAGTCAGTTCCGACTCATAGTGACCCATACAGGGTTTCTGAGGCTGTAAATCTTAATGGGAGCAGAAAGCATCATCTTTCTCCCATGGAACAGCTGGTAGTTTCTAACTGCTGACCTTGCAGTTCACAGCCCAATTTATAACCACTACGCTACCAGAGCTCCTTGAAGCAGGCCTATTTTATCTTTCTACTTTTTTTGTGTGAAAAAGAGTGACAACGTGACAGTAACAGGATTTTATGATTCAATTCTGAATAATTGTTAGCAGGATTAATTGTGATTATCACAACTGTATTTGCAGTAGATGTGGAACTAATCTCTGCCTCCATCTCTGGTGTTGCTGCTTCTCTGGATAGGGTCCCATATTCCGCTAGTGCTCTTCTCCCTTGATGATCCTAGGATCCTACTCCCCTCTTTTGGTTACAAAACTTCTACTTTACAGTTGTGACTGCTGCAATCAGTCATAACAATTACTTACTACTGAATCATAAGAATCTTATCCCCATCTCCTTTCACCATACCCGTCTAGACAAGATGAAAACTATTCAGTAGGGTTTGTACACAAGATGAAAACTATTCAGTGGGGATTCTTTCTACCTTCCCTTGCACACTCTGAAACTAAACTGACTTTTGAAAACTTGTAAGCCAGTCACTTTGTGACTTTATAGACCCTTCCCCCACCCCATTTAAGTAGCCAGTGTCTAAGTTGCCCATCTCTATCAACCCTGTATACAGAGGGGATAGGATTAACACTTGATGTGAAGACTGCTTCCCTCTCAGTTGATATTTTGAGCTACTATATCCATAAGCATAGGTCAAATTCATCAAGTTCTATTTTCTTTTTAAGCTTTCTACATCACTCCACAATTTGCCAACAGAATCCTTCAGTATTACAAGTTGAGGTTTGAATTTTTCTCTGTTCTTTCAGGTTGAGAAATGCTGATCGTGTTCTTCCCTTCTGGTTTTCTAATGCCAGATCTTGGCACATTTCATTATAATATTAGACACTGTCTTCTCTAGCTGCCCTTTGAAATTTTCTGCTCAGCTTTTACCTTCGCATTTCTTCCATTTATTTTAGGATCTCTACAATGGAAAGCACAAGTTTCAGAGTCTCTTCTGATACTAATTTTGGTCTTTTCTTTCTTCCTTGTCTTAATGACTTGTTGCATTTCTTCCTATATGATGTTCTTGATGTCATCTCACAACTCTCTGGTTTTCAGTCATTAGTGCGGCTCTTTAGATGATCTCTAAAATCAGATATTTCAACCATTTTTGGCTCTCATGGACTTTTAAAATTCTTTTTTTCAGCTTCTGCCTGAATTTGTATGTGAGCAATTGATGATCTGTTCCACAGTCTGCCCCAGCCTTGTTTTGGATGATGATAGGGAGCTTTTCCACCATCTCTTTGCACAGATGTAGTAAATTTGTTTTCTGTGGTGACATCCATGTGTATAACCATCTTTCATGTAACTAAAGAAGGCAATTGCAATGAAGTAGTCATTGATCTTGTAAAATTCAATCATGTGATCTCCAGCATTATTTCTATCACCAAGGACATATTTTCCAATTACTGACCCTTCTTTGTTTCCAATCTTTAGATTGCAATTACCAGTAATTATGAATAAATCTTGATTGCAAGTTTTGATCAATTTCAGACTTAAGAAGTTGGTAGAACTCTTCTATTTCATCATCACTGGCTTTAGTGATTGGTGCACAAATTTGAGTAATAGTAGTATTAACTGGTCTTCCTTGCAGGCATATGTATATTATCCTATCACAAACAACACTGTACTTCAAGATAAATATTGAAATGTACTTTTTGACAATGTATGCAATGCTATTCCTCTTAAATTTGTTATTCCTAGTATAATAAACCATATGATTATCAGATTCAAAATGGCTAACACCAGTCCATTTCTGCTTATGAAAGCCTAGGATATCCATTTTTATGTGTTCCATTTCATTTTTTACAACTTATAATTTTCCTAGATTCATAGTATGTACATTCCATGTTCCAATTGTTAATAGATATTTACAGCTGTTTCTTCTCCATTTGAGTTGGGCACCATCAGCAAATGAAGGTTCCAAAAGCTTTGCTCCATTCTTGTCATTATGGTCAACATTACTTTGAGGAAGTAGCTCTTCCCCAGTCATATTTTGAGTGTCTTCCAACCTGAGGGGCTCATCTTCTGGCACTGTATCTGACAATGCTGTACTACTATTCTTAATGTTTCTATCTTCAATCACTATATCTGTCAGTGTTCTACTGCCATTCATTAGGCTTTCAGTGGCTAAACATTTAGAAGTAGTCTGTCTCTCCTTCTTCCTAGTCTGTCTTATTCTGGAAGGTCCACTGAAACTGTGCACCATGGGTAACCCTCCTGGTATTAAAATTACTGGTGACAGAGCTTCCAGCATCATAGCAACATGCAAGTCCCCACAGTAAGACATACTAACAGATGAGTCTAATCTTCCAAGTTGCTGTTTCCCACAGTAACATGGACTGTAGATGATGAAACTCAATTAAAGTCAAATTGATTAAATTCATAATCTGGGCTCTTAACCATTAGTCCCATATAGATAGATAGATCTTTAAAAAGCACAAATCTCAAGGCAGACATCTTTTACTAGTTAAGCAAAACTATTTTTCATATTTAGGATGACGTCAAGGGGTATTTTTGGTTTAAGGCTTACAGACTATCTCAGGGGTTCATCCACCCATCAGGGCTACAGAAAGTCTGTGTTCCATGAGAATTTGAAATTATGTTCTGAATTTCCCTCCTCTGGATCAGGAATCCTCTAAAGAATCCTGGATCACAGTGTTCAGTAATGGTAGCCAGGCACCATTCAATTCTTCTGGTCTTCTGGTACACCAGGCAGTTGTTCATGGAGACAATCAGCCACACATTCCAGTTCTAGTTAGCCACATATTCGACTTTCTCTCCTGTTTTTGACTCTCCTTCTTCCTGTTTGTTCCAGGTAAATAGAGAATAATTACTGTGCCTTGGCTGACTGCATGTAAGCTTTTTAAAACCCCAGGCACTATGTAACAAACTAGGAAGCAGAAGAGAAGCACTAGACATGTTGTTAGGTCAGCTGAGATGCCCCATGAAACCATGACCCTAAGAACAAAATCCCATCAGATGTTTGTACATAAGCAACCTCAACAGCTACTCTTTTTTGTTGTTGCTGTCATTATTGTAAATATATCTATCCACAACCTTTGTTAATTCAACTTTTTATAGGTCTACAATTTACTGGCAGCCAGTAATCAGTTGCGCAACTCTACCCTTTACCAGTGCAATTTCCCCACCAGTGTTAACACCTTTTCTTCCTCCTTCTCTCACCTCAAAACCACTAATAACATTTAGTCTCTCTATATTTGTCTTTTCTTGCCTTTTTATACAAATGAGAACATAAAATATTTGCCCATTTGTGATTGGCTTATCTTGTTCAGCATAATGTTTTCAAGCTCCATCTCTATTATAAAGACTTCATTTCTCCTACTAACTGAGTAGTAGTCCAATGTATATGTGTACCACATTTTGTTTATCCATTCATCTGTTGATGGTTTCCACATTTTGGTTATTATAAATAATGCTGCAATGAATATTGGTGTACAAGTCTCTTTGAGTCTTTGCTGTCATGTCTTTTGGGTATTACCTAGTAGTGGACTTCATTTTGCTTGGATCTATAATAAACACTCATGGAAGCAGCAGTCAAGAAATCAAATGATGTATTGCATTAGGGAAGTATGTTGCAAAAGACCCCTTGAAAGATGTATTTTGAAAACTAAGGGATGCCTGACCCAAGCCATAGTATTTTCACTCACCTCATCTGAATCTAAAATTTAGACAATGAATAAGGAAGACCATAAAAAAATCAATACATTTGAATTATAGTGTTGGTTTAAAATACTCAAAGTATCATGGACTGCCTGCCAGAAATATGTCTTGGAAGTACAGTCAGAATGCTCCTTAGATGCAAGTATGATGAGATGTCATCTATCAGCAATGAACCTGGACAACGACATCATGTTTGGTAAAATGAAGAGTCAGCAAAAAAGAGGAAGACC